TAGTAGTGGAAGCAGTAGCAGTAGTAGTAGTAGTAGTAGTAGTACTGGTACTAGTAGGGGTACTAGTAGTAGTGGAAGCAGTAGCAGTAGTAGTAGTAGTAGTAGTAGTAGTAGTAGGAGTAGTAGTAGGATGTCTAGTATGTAGCGATTGCAGCATGAGTCGCACTTGTAGAGATAGCATTGGTACAAGCAGCAGCAGCAGCAGCAGCAGCAGCAGTAGCAGTGGAAGCCCTGATGGCAATGATAGCAACAGGATAGTAGAAGTAGCTGGAGGAGTAGAAGAGGAATTGTCGATCTCCGAGACACTCACCTGGATTGCTGATTGTTTCTTTACATCTTACAGCGGGGTCTGCTGGCAGTCTTGGAGGTTGAAAGACCATACTAACTACTGCCTCCAGGCATGCGAGCCGTGCAAGCACGACTTTCGGATCGTATTTGGAGGCTTCCAGCTGGTTCGCCTCGCAGGCAGCTTGTGCAAATCAGGGCGGTTTTCAGGTCTGCTGCGGTTGGGTTTCGTTGTTTCAACAGGGCACCGTTGGCCTGAGCCCATCAGGGGCTCCGTCTCATGCGCACTTCAAGCGGTCCAGGCACAGATGCTCCGGGATGAAAGTGCCAATACAGTAGCTTTTGGGATTCATCCTGAACTACAAAGTCTCAAGGTACAACCTACAAAAGCTAAGCCGATATGCGAACAGGCACTAGCACTAGCATCAACTCTTGGCTGTTAAGCGGCCTGGGCCACACCCAGACGTGAATTCGGCCATCTTAAGGACTCGTGAGATACAGGATTTGAGCACAATTTACAAACAACATGGACACACCTGTCAACTTCACGGAAAGTAACGTCTTTTTTCTCCAGGATTTTAGAAGCCCTGTCCTTCATACTCACAGCCCCAAGCCTCAATCCCGAATCTCTCTTGCAATCAAACACTCCCTTGCTTCCTCCCTTCCCTCGCTACCTCCTACTTTCCGATGCAACCAGAAAGTAAAACTGCAGGCCGACTTGTGATAATAAGAGCCCTTGACCCCAAATTGTGGCGCGGCCTGTAGGATGGCCAGGCGCTGGGCGATGATTTTGGGGTCAATTGCGCCATGCAAAAGCTCCGCCTTTCGGGTACAGAAGTGCTGGGTCATGTGCGAAACTTCTAGAAGGCCCCAGAGAGAGCCTTCCGACCGAAAAGAAGCAAAACACATTCTTCGAGAACGTTCACTCCGCGGCTCTGCACAGACTGCAGGTGCGGCAAAAACCGGCTTCCTTCACTCCACGAAAACTGGGACAGGGTGCCCTGTGACGTTGCACCGATATCAGCCTCAAGCTTTACCGCCATACTCATAAGCAACTCCGAAGAACTGCAAACAGCACCTGGATCTTGCCCGCAGCCACAGGCAACGGCGGGCAGCTGTTTTCGGGGACATGCGCCTCACGGTTTGCGACTCAGACGGGCATTTTGCAAAAGCAGAAAAGGGATAGTTGCCAGAGCACGGCCGAACTCGCTTACCGAGATGCGGAACACGAAACTGCATTGTGCCATGCGGGATGTTCAGCACCATTAAACTGAAACTACTCATGATGAACATTGCACAGGGCCACCTTCGTTCGGTTGGCTTTGAGCTCATCTTCCACAATCTTCTCCTTCAGGGCTGGGATCTGGTTTTGTACGCGGTCCACACAGATCCTTCCTTGCGTCTCTATCCTGTGCCAGCAGCAATCAACATGACGATTCCAAGAAGACAGAAATATGTGAATTGATACGGGGCTCGACAAAATGGTTCTGGCATGTGGAGGCTGCAAATCCGGCAAGGCCACGCGAAGTTGCAGGCACCTACTTCGGAGACACTTTCTGAGAAAAGCGGCCTACAGGTGTTGGCAACAGTAGCAGCACAAGTGACAGCACCAGCTCCAGCAGCAGCAACAGCAGGAGCATTGGAGGTAGTTGCAGAAGAAGTAGTAACCGTCGTCGTCGATGTTGAAGGTGCGGTTATTTGTACTCTTGTTGTAGATACTCTTTATATTTTTTGCTGCTGGTCATGTCGTTGCTGTTATGGTTATTGTTGTTGTTGTTGTTGTTGCTGCAGCTACTGCTGCTGATGTTGTTGTTGTTGTTGTCGCTGTTGTTGTTGCTGTCATCCTTGTTGTTGTGGTTGTTGCTATTGTTCTTGTTATGGTTCTTGACATTGCTCTTAGTATTACTACTATTGAAGTTGTTGTTGTGAGTGTTGTAATGGGTTGGAGTTGTAGTTG